CTCTTTAACGTCTCATTAATTAACCCGTCCTGGCAGGGATGGGGCTGGAGCCGCTGGGGAAAGGGCGACAGCCCGGGCACCCCGAAATGGGAATCACCTCGGACCCGCCTTCCAAATGGAGATCGGCTCAGGAGTGAGGATCCTCGTCCCGCCTGGGATGTTCTGTGAGAATGGATAGGATTAAATAAAGCCCAGCAGCCCAACCACGAGGGGGGATAAGGGGTGTGAAAGTGCTGTGCTGGGAAGGCATGAAAACCCTTTTCCTGAGGGATTTCATGGCCAGACTGTGGTTTGCTCGCGATGGTCCGTGCCGGGAGTGCAGGGCTTGTCGGAGTATCCCCGGCTGTGAGGGACATCCAGGTGCTCCGTGACTTCAGGGACACGTGGGATCAGCTCTTCGGGCAGCACAGAGACAATGGGAGCCCTCCTGCCTTCCAGCCCGTCCTCCTGACCACCCACCAGGGAAGAAGGGGGGGAAAAACCACAACAAAACAAAGGGTCCCTCGGACTTTTGGGACAGTGGTGGTGGTGTCTCCTGCAGGTGTGCTCCATGACTGCAGCCCTTTCCCTTTGCACCTCCTAAAGCCCTTTCAAGCTGAACAAACCTTATCTCAACAGCCCAACTCCCAAAACCGCCAGCCTGGGGTGGGACAAAGAGCAGGAATAGCAAAGCCTCCCCCTCGGGCATCGTCCCTTCCGACCTTGCTCCGATTTGTGTTTCATTCCTGCGTTTCCCTGCCCGATCACATCGTTTGAGTGAAGTGAGGGGTGGCCTGGGAGGATGAGAGGAGGGTGGTTGCCAGGGAGGGAAGGGGAATGGAGGCCTGGATGTGGTCAGATGCAAGGATGCTCCCAATGTTTTCCATCCAGCTCTCAGGAGGTGGATCCCGCAGCAAGGACAACACACGCTTGTGCTTTTCACACTCCAGGCTCGTTGTGCCTTAAATAAATGTGGAATCTTGCTTTTAGCAGCTCTGCATCTCCAGCCTGGGCTGGAAGCATCCTCGTCCCACGGAATGTGGCATTCCTGCAGCCTGCATGGAATGAGGTCACGATGGCACATGTGTGAGGGCACAGCCAGGGCATGATGTGCCAGGGTTTCCTTGCCCCAAGAGGGTTTCCTTGCCCCAAAAGAGTTCCCTTGCCCAAAAAGTGTTTCCTTGCCCCAAAAAGGTTTCCTTACCCGAAAAAGGTTTCCTTGACCCTGAAAGGTTTCCCTGCCCAAAAAGGGGTTCCTTGCCTAAAAGGGATTTTCTCACCCAAAAAGTGTTTCCTCACCCCTAATAGCATTTCCTTGGCACAAAAATGTTTTCCTGACCCCAAAAGGGTTTCCTTGCCCAAAAAGTGTTTCCTCACCCAAAAAAGGTTTCCTCACCTGAAAAGGGTTTCCTTGCTCCAAAAACCATTTCCTTTTCCCAAAAAAGGCTTTCCTTGGCCCAAAAGGAGTTCCTGACCCAGACAGTTTCCCCACCCAAAAAGGGTTTCCTTGTTCCAAAAACCATTTCCTTTTCCCCCAAAAAAGGCTTTCCTTGACACAAAAATGCTTTCCTGGCCCCCAAAAAACGTTTTTCTCCACCCAAAAAGCGTTTCCTTTCCCCCCCAGAGGGTTTCCTGCCAATCCCCGAGGACTCCAAACCAAGGTGTGTGGGATGAATCGCCCCAGGGGCACTCCGAGCATCCAACAGCCCGGAGCGGGTGCATCGGGAATGCCAGGGAAGGCGGGATCGGGGTGGATCAGTGGCGGGGCTGCCGGAGCAGCTGTGCTCTTATCTGGCCGGAGGAAGGGGCTCCACAACAAAGGGGGGCTCAGGAGCCGGGGTGATCCATGGGAAAGCCATTGGCCCGGCATTGTGGCCGCCCTTCTGCTGAGCAAATAGTTCAAACTGTTCATTCCCATCTCCTATTCTCTCCCTGGTACATTGTTTGTGTCCTTGCATTTCATTCCCGAGGAAGATTGCTCTCTGGGCCTATAAGCAAACAGTCCAGAAAAGAGCCAACTATCCTCTCCTTTTCCCTGGAGAACTAGCATTTTTATTTCAGCTCCAAGCTGTCAAAGAGCTGGAGAGTTTATGTCAGTATCCTGAATTAATTGCTTTAAGCTGGAGCAGCCTCCGCCCGCCACCAAATGTCCAGAAGATGTTTATTAATAATGTTTCCTCCGGGTTTTTTTTCTTTTTTTTTTTTTTTTTTGGGGGGGGTTTTTTTTTGTTTTTTTTTTTTTTTTTTTGTTCCAAGCTGTGCTCTCACATACTGTGCCCTCTATTAACCGCCTGGCGCCGGGTGAGGTGGGGAAATGAAAGCTGCTTACAGGGAATTAAATATCAGCTCCCGAGGTTTTTTTGCCGGCGCGGCGGGCACGGGAAGCTCCCGTTAGGACTTTTTTTTTTCGGGAGAAGAGGACGATGGATCGCCGGGGGAAGGTGTTTAAACACAAATAGCTTCGGTAATTAACGAAAGTGGTGAGGAAATTACCCGCGGAAAAAAAAAAAAAAAACGCGGGAGGTAAACGGTTTTGTGTTTAAACATGATATATTTTAAAGTGTTCCCCGGTGTGAAAGTCCCTGTTTAAGGGAATGAAGTAATAAAGCAATTTATATACCAATAGAAAGTCGAGATCCTGAGTGCCTTTGTGTAAATTTTCCACTTGACTTTTCATTATCTACCTGAACAAAATCAATCTATATGTATGGGATCAACATGCAATAGGAGAGATAAAAAGCCCGGAAATAAATGTGCTTTGCATATCCCACCGATAAAAGCCCCCCGGGCTCCGGGCGCTGCCTCTTTTTTTTCCAGGCAGATGCATTTTCGGGAATAAATCATTTGGCGGAGAGGGAAGGAGAGAGCGCGGCAGAGTGGGGCTGCTCGAGTGTTTGCTCCCTCGCCTGAAATATTGATCCTGTCAAATGAACAGCCGTTAATAAGTAACTCGGGAAAAATATGCCGGCTCTGCCTTTGCTCCCGCTCCCGGAGCACGGACACGGCTCCGGGGGTGCCCCGGCTGTGGGCACGGCCCGAGGCCCCGGGCAGGGGGAGCAAAGTGAGGGAAGGGGACAGAGCAGGAGAGGGGGACAGGTCCTGGCGTCCCGTAGGGAGCCCTCAAACCCCCAGGCATTTGGCATCCCGTTCTGGATCCCAAACCCTGCCACATCCCAAACCCCGCTGTACCCCAAACCCTGCTGTATCCCAAATCTTGCTGTATCCCAAATCCTGCCACATCCCCAACCCCACTGTACCCCAAACCCTGCTGTATCCCAAATCTTACTGTATCCCAAACCCTGCCTCACCCCAAACCCTGCTGCAACCCAAATCTTGCTGTATCCCAAACCCTACCTCATCCCAAACCCTGCCACAATCCAAACCTTGCCACATCCCAAACCTCACAGTATCCCCTATCCCACCATATTCCAAACCCTGCTGCATCCCAAAACTCACTGTGTGCCAAACCCCGCCACATCCCAAACCCCATTATACCCCAAACCCCATTGTATCCCAAATCCTGCTGCATCCCAAACCTGCCACATCCCAAGCCCTGCTCTGTGCCAGCCCCCTTGCTCATCCCATGAGGCCTTGCCTGCAGACACCGAGATCATCCCATCGGCCTCCTGCACACTGAGGTGGCTCTCTCCCACCTCCTCCCAGCAGGAGCCATTCCTGATCCCAAATATCCCCACTTCCAGCTGAGGGAAGAATTCTGCTGTGTTAAAAGCAGCAAAGTACCTGCCCCATCCATGTTCTAATCCAGAGCCTGGAGTGAGCCCCCTGTCCCATCCTTTCCCCACGGTTTGGGTGACTGCTCCCTTCCCCCTCTTCTCCTTTCCATGGATCCCAACACCTTGGAGAGCTGGATAACTATCCTCTCTCTTTTTTCCCCTTGTTTTTCTTTGCTTCGGTGAAGAGGCAGAGACTCCTCGTGGGGTTTATTTTCCCTTCAGTAACAGGATATGGAAAAGGTTAAGAGGCACTTCAGGAGATCCAACCCCTCTCCTGGGTTTTTATTCCTGCGGAAACCCCGACCCCGTTTTGGCAGCTCCTGTCACCCCAGCTGATGAATTCCTCCTCCTCCTCCTCATATCCTTGTGCCAGGGAAAGCACCTGCTCCCCTCTGGGTGTATTTCTTTGAGGGTCTCTCCACAAATCCACGTGCTGGACACGGGAATTTCTCCAGGTCTCCTTACGCCAAAGGCCCTTACCGGCCTTTTCCCTTCTTCTCCCCCTAAAAATCCACACAGGGAAGTGGTGGGAGAGGAGGGTGGGGAAGGAGATGAAACAAAGGGAAAAGCAGGGGTGAGCTGATGACTTTCCAAGCTGGAGAGTTTCCCAGGATGCTCCCGAGGATCACGTTCCGCCGTGGGCTCGACATCTGCAGCGGTTTTATGGGTCTGCTAATGACAGCTCTGATCAGACCCAGGGCTGGCAGAAAGTCCTGGAAGCCCCTTTGGAAGCAAATCTCCCCTTCTGTCCCCTCTTCCCGCTGCTTCCCCACCCCTCCCAGAGCTGCTGGGTTTGTGCCCTCCGTGTTCCCCCCCAGGCATTGGCTCAGGGCGGTGCAAAACTGGGATCGTGCATCCACAAATCCACCCCTTCCCGTGGGACTCCTGTTTTCTTCCCACTGTGGATCCAAGAGTCCACAACAAGCTCCAAGGTGGCACATTTCAGAAAAGCTTTGGCACAGGAAGGGGTATAAATCACCACCCAGTTTTGGGGGGTTTTTGGCTGCCAGAGTTTTTCCTCCTCTCCGAACCCTTTCCTTGTGCTTGCCGTTGGAAAAAACATCCCCACACATCCCACTGAGAGCTCCATGAATTAGTGAACTCAACTTTCTCAAGGTGCTGTTGGCATTTTTTCCCCGTTTCCACGGAGCCCAGAGGGATCCATCCCAGCCAAGCACCTTCCTGAGCTCCCTCCAGGCCAGGCTAAGGCTTCTCCCCATTCCAGTCAGGAATTACTGGAGCGTGACCCAGGTATCGCTCACGAGTACAGACACAAAGAGGCAATCGGAGATGGGAATCTTTGCCTTTAATAGGGATGAGGACACGGCAGCAGCGCACGGGCGAAGCCCAATTTGTCCCAGCTCCCCCTGACACCGACTCCTTGTCCATTAGTTAAATAAATAAAGGAGAGGGAAGGGCAGTGTGGGATCAGTGTGGGATCAGGCAGGCACGGAAGCACCGAGCGGGAGCCTGGCAGGGACAGGCAAAGCATTCCAAGGTCTCTGAAATCCCTCGGTGTCGCTGCCTTCGGAACCGGGGCGGGAAATAAAACCCCCACGTTCCCACTCCTGCGGGCTGTGGCACTTGGCAGCTGTTTTCCAGCAGGGATAAAGGATCATTCTTTTCAGTGCTGGTGGGAGAAAAACCCCGTGGAAAGCTGCTCCCTCCCCAGGCAGGGTGAGCTCCTTGTCCGGCCTTGCACGGGCGGTGCTCGGACAGGTAGGGAGCTCCCGGCAGCCGGGATGTGGATGCAGGAATCTGTGGAGTGACAAGGATTCCCCACCCAGCCCCTGGCAGGTGGGAGCAGCGGGAGGGACCCTGCCCACAGCCTCACAGCTGCTCCCTGCTTTTCCCACATTCCCCGTGGAAAAGGGCTCTGTGGCCTGGGGGAAACGGAGAAGGTGGAGAGGGAGCGGGGTGGGATGTGAGGGAGGTGTTGGTGTTGGTGGGAAAAGGAGAGAAGTGGGGGAAAGGATAGAAAAAGGGAAAAGGGGAAGGAACGGATAGGAGGGAAAGAATGGAGGGAAAAGTAAGGAGGGAAAAAAAGAGGGAGAAAAAAGGAAGTGAGAGGGGGAAGAAACTGGGGAAAAAAAAGAGGGGTAAGAATAAGAAAAAAGAAAAAGAAAAGGAAAAGGGGGAATGGAAAGAAAGGGGGGAAAGGGGGAGTGGAAAGAAAGGAGGGAAGGAAAAGAAAATGAAAAGGGGGAAGGAAGGAAAAGCAAGGAAAAGAAATTAGGAAAATGGGAAAGAAGTTATAAGGAAAGAAAGGAAAATAAAGAAATACAAAGGGGGAAGGAAAAGAAAGGAAAAGGGGGAAAGGAAGGAAGAGTGAAGAAAAGAAATGGGAAAAGTGGGAGGGGGAATTAAAAGAGAAGAAAGGAAAAGAAAGGGGGGAAATGGACAAAAAAAATTGAAATGGAAGAGAAAGGAGAGGAAAGGAAAGGAAGGAGAGGAAAGGAAGGTGAAGAGGAAAAGCGAGCCGGCGGTGCCCCGAGGGGCTGGAGCCCATCCCTGCCCCACTCCCCCCGCAGCCGCCTCCGCCTCAGCCGCGGCTTCCCCAAAACTTTTTCTTTTTCTTTTTTTCCCCCCTAATTTTTTTCCTTTCCTTTCGCTGCAATTCCACACCCGGCTGCCCCTGCAAACAGAACGGGGGGGGGCCCAGGCCCTGCGGGGTGCCAGGACTGCTGTCCGTCCCTCCATCCATCCCTCCATCCCTCCATCCATCCTCCCCGGCATCCCTGCATCCATCTCCCCATCACTCCCTGCACGCTGCATCCCTACCTGCATCCCTTCATCCAGCCCTCCATCCAACTCACACTCCCTCCCCAAAAAACCCACCATCCCGGGCTCGAGGCAGCTTTTCCCGTCCTCACATTCCCGTTTCCCGGGTGGATTCCGTCCCTCCCGCTGTCCCTGCCGCTCAGGTGCGCGGCGAGGGCGGGGGGGGCAAAAACACCTGTCCCCGTTATCTGGAGCCGATCCCAGGATTTTCGGGGTGTTCCACAGACTACAGCTCCTTACAGAATATTTGGGGGAAGAACTCGATTGCGGGGACTATGGGGATATTTTTCTTTTTTTTAACTTTCCCCCTTTTTTCCCTTATTTTTATTGCTTCCTTTTATTTTTTTCTTATTTTTTCTTTTCGTCTTTTTTCTTTCTTCTTTTTTTTCTTTTCCCTTTATTTTTTCTTTTCCTTTAATTTTATTTTCCTTTAATTTTCTTTTTTTTTCTTCTTTTGTTTTTATAATTTCCTTTTTCTCATCTTTTTTTTTTCCCGAAGAGAGATTTGTTTTCTTTTTTTTTTTTTTTTGTTTTGATTTGCTTTACTTTATTTCCTGTCTTTTCCCCAATAAAACCAACTACTATCAAATCCACCTTTCCCACCCCGGAACGCCCTTTCCTCTGCTCCATCGGGAATATATAAACATTTCTGTCGCCACTGCGGGACCCCGAAAAACCACCGCAGCGAGCCAGCAAAAAAAATCCCTCCGAGTTCCTCTGGCTCTTCCCGCATCCCCCAGCCCCGCAATCCCGGGTTTATCTGTCCCAGAAATACGGAGCCGGTGGATTCGGCATCACCCTTTAATATTTCCTCTCCTCAAGGTTACGCAGGGCAGAGGGAACAAACTTCAAACCTTTTTATTTCCTCCTCTCCTTTTCCATCCCCTTTCCCCTACCTGGTTTTATGTGGTTTCTGGATTAGTCTAGTGCGGAGCCGAAGCGGACTTTCTCCGGCCGAAATATAGGATTAGGACTATTTCTGGAAGAAAGGGAATAGTGTGAACTGCCTTGAGCCCGCGATAGTCTAAAGCAGAATTACAGCTTGTAAAATAGGTCTCCATCAGTTTCCCAGGAGACGGGTTAAGCCCTACTTGGGTGTTCCAGCTCTTTTTAGAACCACTAATAATTAGTCTCATCTCACCCCCGAGTTGTCCGGTTGGTTTTTTCTTTAAGATCGTCAATAAATGCACTTTTTTGCCTCCGCTGCTGCCGGCGCGGGCAGGGCAGGCAGGGCCGGCTGCTTCCAGCCCCGCGCTCATCCCGGGGGGAAAAAAGGTTTTGGGGGGCGTCGGGAAACCAACGGGGCTTGCCCACCCTATGCCATCCTTTTTGTGCTTTGATGTCTTTGGAGCCGTCGCTGCGCGTCATTAGGGGCCCGAATAATTAAAACAAAAAGCAGCAAGGAAAAGCAGTGTCTTTCTCCCCCCATTTTTGGAGGGAAAAATCAGGGGGAAATAAAATAAAAGGAAGGAAAAATACGGATAAACGGAGGGAAGGGAAGCGGCTGGATCGGGGCTGATCTGGGGGCTCAGACCCCGCAGCCTTCCTGCCCAGCCTGCCCAAATCCCAGCCGGTGCCAGCCGCTCCTCAAAAAAAAAACCCCAATCCCTAAATCAGGATTTGAGGGGAATTAACGGGAACACGGAGCCGGGCGCTCGGCCCCGCCGGGAGCCGGGGCAAAGCAATCCGGGGGGCTGGAGGGAATCCTGGGGGTGATCGGGGGAGGGGAAAAGGGGGAAAACCAGCCGGGGGGCGCGGGTGGAAGGGCAGGAGCGTGGGGAGCGGGTGCGGGGCCGGGCAGCCGGGAGGGACGCGGCGGGATGGCCCCTTCCCACTCGTGTCCCCCTCCCCGCGCGGGCGACAGGCGTGTAATGACAAGTAATTGGGCTGGCGCGGGGCCGCTTTCGATGAATTATTGAGAGCCCATTAGCGCCGGGGCGGTGTCACCCCGCACAGCAGCGCGGGGACACGGACACGGGCACGGGCACGGCCACTCCCGAGCTGTGCCCTCTACTCGTGCCCTACACCCCCTGTCCATCCCCGCGTGGGCGATGCCGCTCGTGTCCGTGCCTGGTGCCAGAGAATCTCGGGAAGGGCCGCCGGCCGCGCCGAAACTCCGGGTTTTCCCGGGAAACACGGCGGGGGAATAATTCGATCCCCGATTTTTTTTGCTGGCGCGGGTGCTCGGCCGTGACCCGCCCACGGGATCGGCACCGGCACCGGGACAGGCGCTTCCCGGTGTCCCGGCCACGGGAGAAACCCCTTTCCGTGGGGCGGACACGGTGTGGCCGCTGCCAGCCCGGAACAAAAGATCGTCACGGAGACGGGGAGGACAAACGGGGGGAAAGGGGGGGAAATCAGCTAAAACCGAAATAAACCGAAAATGTGGAAGTAAAGCCCTGGAGCCGGGCTGGGAGGAGCGGGAGGAGGCGGGAGCCGGCCCCGCACGGCCCCGTCCCTGTCCCACCCGAGCCACAACGGCTGCCCCCCCGCAGCCAGGGGGTTTGGGGTTAAAACGGGTCGAATCGGGGCCCCGAGGCGGCCCTGCCCCGGCCGCGCCCCGTTCCCACCCGGGCTGCCCCCACACCCCCAAATCACCCCCCTCTGCTCCCCTGCCCTGCTCCGCACGGGCTCCAACGCTGGCAGAGGGATCCCCCAAAACGCGGGGGCGAGGCGGCGGGAGCAGCCCTTCATTCCCCCACCCTTCCCTGCGCCCCTCCATCCTGCCCTGCATCCCTCCATCCATCCTCCATCCCTCCATCCATCCTCCATCCCTCCATCCATCCCTCCATCCATCCATCCCTCCACCCGTGGCCCCGCGCCCCCCCGGCCTCCGGGCCGCTTCCCTCTCCCCCGCCGGCTCCGAGGCGAGCTGAGGAAGAGGAGGAGGAGGAGGAAGGGCTGGAAAAGAAGCAGAAGGTGGGAGTTGAAGGCGAAGGAGAAGGAGGAGAAGGAGCGGCGGGTGTCCCCTACCTGCGCCCCGGCCGCCGGCCCGGCTCTGCGGGAGCTGGGAGCATCCCGGCATTTATTGGAGCTGAAACTCTGCGACTGTTGACTTTAGCACAAAGCAAAGATTTCGCTGCCCGCTAGTTTAAAAATGAATATTTTACCAAGATATCGATCAGCTTTATAAAATTCAGTTAAGCACAATGGCTCAAAAGGAGGGGGGGGGGGAAGGAAAGGGGACGCAATATAATATCTGTGTAAATTTGCTGAAGTATGACGTGGTGGGGAAAGTTTACCCTCCTGGAATTTGGATCTAGATTCCACACCCCCCCCCTTCGTCTTTTTTTTTTTTTTTCCCCTTTTTTTTTTTTTTTTTTTTTCCCCTTTTTTTTTTTTTTGTTTACTGACTTTGTTTATTCACAGATCACGGTT